CCTTTAAGACATACTGGAATTGAATACTGATGGGGTTTTTTCCTCATTTTTGGATTTTTTGGTTTTAGACAAGGTCTTTCTATGTAGCCCAGGTTGGTCTTAAACTCACTATATGTAGCACAGGCTGGCCTCGTGTCCCAGCAACTCACACTAATATTCCTGCCTCAGCCTCCTTGTGCGTTTTACAGGCATTCCCTACCACACTCCGCTATGTTTACCACCAAGTTCAAACTTAAAAATCCATGAACTTGGCCAGGGACTTAGCTCAGTGGCATAAGCACTTGCCGTGCAAGCATGCAGTCATGAGTTTGATCCCTGGTACCAAACAAACAAACAAACAAAAATCCATCAACTAGAGGCTTGGGGATACACTTCAGTGGCATAAACACCTGCCTACCAAGCACAAAGTCCTGGGTTTGATTCTTGGTACTAAACAAAACAAAACATCAAGTAGGCTGAGTGTGGTGGTATGCAGCTATAATCTTGGCAATCCTGAGGCTGCAGCAGGAATATCACCATGAGTTCCAGGCCAATCAGACCTATGGCTTTTAAGACTGCTGCCTTAAAAATAAAAAAGCAAGCAAGATCCACTATTGTTTTACTTTGAACTACTGCCAAACATAAAATGAATCCAAAGTATACTAGAAATGGTGACTTGTAGGGAAAAGAGGTGGCAGGTTGTCAATTAAATCCTTCAGTTTAAAAAATATACATTCACATGTCTAATTTTCAGAAAGAACGAATCTATGGAAGATTTAATAAAAATGAATTCTCACTCAAAAAACTGCAATTGATAGTAAATACTCATGTTATACATGGGCGATATATGAGTATCTTTCATGTTTTCTTTAGTCCTTTTAGCAACCCAATACACATTATTATTACAAGGACCAGAAAAACAGATTATATTACTTGAGGGCCTTAATTACACTTTGGTCTACTAATTGACAAGATCTGGATTACTCGATCTTTCTTTGCTCCACTCCATGGAACTATTATCTACAACTACAACACAGAACAAAATCTTAAGACCCAAGTACCTGAACGGTAAGGAAATATACAAAGAAACTGCAAATTTCTAAACTGTTAACTTTTCTAAAACATCCATGGGAATTTCATGATCTGATTAAACTATAGAAGACCTGGAACCTTCCAATACATCCTAGAGCCAAAACTGTTACTTTCTTTGAATAAGAAACTTAACTGATGATAAGGGCTGAGTAAGTTGCTACGATTTTATCTTAAAACTCTGTACTTATCTGAGCCATTTGTAGCACCACATACCTGTAATCCCAGGACTCAAAGAGGCTGAGGCAAGAGGATCCCTGAGTTCAAGGCCAGCCTGAACTACTTGTGACACTATCTCAAAAAAACAACAAAAAATAAAAACTGTGCCCTTGTGTTTTCAACTGTGTCCACCCTCTCTGCCAAGTTTCTCAGATCTGCTTCTATCCTAATGAAGCACCATTTTCAACTTTATACACATATCTATCTTAAAACATTAAATGTGCTGGGTGTGACCAAGGACTCCGGAGGCTAAAGTAGAAGAATTATAAATTGAAGGCCAGCCTGAACTACACAGTGAGACACTCTCTCAAAACAAAACATCATTAACTAAAATCCCCAAATCAACTTTCTGATGTGGGCCATATAGTGATCTCATAAAATTCTTGAACCAAGTTCATTTCCACACTAATCTTTTTATTTTATTTTTTTGTCTTTTTCCTTTTTATTGGTACCGGGGATCGAACTCACAACTGCCTGCTTGCAAGGCAGGCGCTTATGCCGCTGAGCTAAATCCCCAGCCCCCAACACAACTAATCTTAATACTGAAGTTCAATCGGTTCTTTAGTACCTACTACCTAGGTACTTTCTTTTAGCAATCAGAAATCTTTTTGTGGGCTAAGATTAGAACACAAGAAAAGGTACTAAAATATGAAGTAACGTCATAGTAAATACATGCTTGTTTAGAACTAAATAGCAGTCATAAGAATTGGAAAATATTTCTGCCAACATTTCACCAAATTGGTATATCTACTTTTTAAACGATCTTTCCAAATCTCTCCTTTAGAATGTTTCTCAAATTTATTTACTGTAAAATATTTTACATACTTCATCATGACCAAGTAAAACTTTAAAAATTGGGCTGTTCTCAATAAAGAAAACAAACTGCATAAATTTAAAACACGGCTTTTATAGAATCCATCAGAGGAAGATCACAAAAGTATCGAATTCTTCATTTGGAGGTCATGAAACAGTATCATTATTTCATGGTTAGTGGTACTCAACATTCACTGTAACTGAAAATAAGTTATGCACTTGGCAAACTAGGAAAAAAAAAATACCTGCATCACACTGGCTGCAAAAAACCTCTCACAGGTGTAGCTGATCATAAATATTTCAGTTTTGGGTGGGGAATTTAGCTCAGTGGCACAAGTACCTACCTGGTATGTGAGATCATGAGTTTGATCCCCAGTACAAATAAATAGAATTATTTTTTTTTTAACAGTATTCCAGACTAAACCTGGGTCCTACACACGCTAGGCAACTATCTTACCACTGAACTACATTCTCAATATGGTCATAAATTTTAACTTGTAGACAAGAAATTCTGATGTGCAGAAAAGACAGTTGTTTCTGATTTAATGCCCTCAAACCACTTAATTGGTAACTAAACTTTTCAATAGCAAAAAAATGCCGGGTCTGGGGCTGGGGATTTAGCTCAGCGGCATAAGCAACTGCCTTGTAAGCAGGCGGTCTTGAGTTCAGATACCGATAAAAAGAAAAAAAAAAAAAAAAGCCAGATCTAACTAGAGAAAGTTTCCACTCTTTTAAAAACAAATTTCAAAGTACAGAAAAATCACTAGTTTTCATTTAAGCCATACTTGGTGGCTCACATTTATACTACTAGCACTCAGGAGACTAAAGCAGGAGGATCATAAACTGCTGTCCACAAACAAAGGTGAATTCACAAGGAGCCTTAACTCCAAAACATGACTGTCTCAAAAACCTGAACTATACTAGTCTTCAAAACAGCAGAACACAAACTACCATTTTTGGTTATTCATTTAAGAAACTGCAAGAATACAATCCTAACATTGCATGCCAGATGTCTTGCTATTAGTTTGAGAAATTTTGCATCCTTGTTCTTTTGGTTTTTGTTTTTTTTGTTTTGTTTTGTTTTGTTTTTTTGTTTTTTTTTTTTTTTTTTGGTACCTGGAATTAAAGCTTGTCCTTACCAGGGAGGCACTTGTGCTGCTGCTGAGCAATATTCCAGTTTTCCCTTCTAGCCTTTTAAGTCCAGATCATAGCCCATATAACATTTTTTCCAATACATTTCAAAGTGTTCACTTTCAGGTGTCTGTTCTTACTGTTTACTGGCTGAACTGACTCCTTTAGCCAAACTGATGAATTCAGTTTAAATGTTTCTCTCGAAGCATTCCCTAATCAAGGAACTATTTCCTGTCCTCTTAAGAACAGAAAGTGGGGGCTGGGGATTTAGCTCAGCGGCATAAGCGCCTGCCTTGCAAGCAGACAGTCGTGAGTTCAATCCATGGTACCGATAAAAACAAAAAAGACAAAAAAAAACAGAAAGTGAGACTGTGTGGTGGTACATCTCTACCCCAGGGCACTCCTGAGACTTAAGACAGAAGGATCATTGTTAGTTTAGGTAAGGCTGGGGTACATACTGAATTCCACGTCAGCCTGAACTATATAGTGTGACCCTATATAAAACAAACACACACAAAAGCAGACACTGATGTACCAAAACTGTTTGACACAAAAACAATCTTCGAGAGAAGCATGTTTGCACATGCCTGTAATCTTGACCATGCAAGAAGAGGATTCAAATTTTGAGCAAGCTTGGGCTATTTAGCAAGACTGTGTCTCAAATATAAATAGCTGGGAATATGGCTCAATGTTACCATGCTGGCTCTAGGTTCAACCTGGTGGGTATGGGGGGACTGACACACTCCTCCTCAACAACACCTAATATATGTAATACCATTATTTTAAGAGGAAAAAAATGAATAGTCCTTCATACATACAAAAAGCAGTGGTATTACCAGGCAGTGATGCACCCTGAAATGGTAGCACTTGAGGCTTGCTATGAGTTTGAAACTAGCCTTACAAATAGCAAGATCCTGTCTCAAAAAGGGACCCAAGTATATTCCATGTACTTGTATAGTTTATAAAATATGTTCTACAGACACAGATACAACACACACTTTGAATTAAAGCATAAGCAATGCATTTTTGCATACCATATAATTTTAGAAGAGTAAACTAAAGAAAATTCATTCTTTTATTAGAACTATTATCAACATGTATACATTTTCAATGTTTCACTCTGTTCCCTGATAACGAATGACTACAACAGTTCTAAATCCAGCATTGAAAGCCACTCAATTTAGCTCTATTCTATGTATTTTTAATTTTATTATCTTATGGCTCCCACATCAGTGCTGTTTTGAAGGCCTGAGAAACTAATTGTTCTAATCATGGCTTTTAGAATTGCTAATGCTCCCCAATTGACAGTATCAATCTTAACAACATTTGAACTTCTAAAGCAACTTTTACAATTATGCATTGCCCACTACATTCTATTTTTCACTAGTTCATTTTTTCAAAGACATAAGGGGCTGGGAATTTAGCTCAGCGGCATAAGCACCTGCCTTGCAAGCAGGCAGTTGTGAATTCGATCCCCGGTACAGATAAAAATGAAAAAGACAAAAAGTATCCAAAGAAGACATAAGATTAGGGACCATTTTAAAAACCTTACTATGATCTCTTTCCATACTTTTTGAAATACATTTAAAGTCACCATATCTAGTCTACACAGCAACCTGGGATATTTTTGTTGTTTCATTTTAGAAGGGAATATGTCTTTGAAAATGTCAGCTGCTCATTACTTCAAAAAAGAAAGTTCACTACTACAAAATAGAAAAAATAATTTTCACTAGTTTTTACCAGAACAAAAGAAAACACCTTCAACATACCTGTCATAATAATCACGTTGAAAGTCATAGTCCAAGTCAAAAGAGGAGCTGAAAAATAAATATCAAAGAAGATTAATTTGGAGATACTGATATAAACTTACAACAGTAGAAGGGGGGCAAACATGCCAAACAAACAAATTATCAGTAAGATTAACATGAAATAAACCCAAATAATTCAAATAAATCACTACATTCCAATCACCTTACACCACTTGTTATAGTAGTCAGTTATTAAATAAAGTTCACTAATTCTATACACAACATAGCAAAAACAAAGACTGAAAAATGTAACAGTAAGTTAAACTTATTTATACCCCCGTTTCTTAAAAGCTAAATAACTTTCAAAAGATTTCAATTTATGCTATAAAGACTCAACTACACTTTATCAACAAAAATCTCAGGGATCACTAATACTTTTTTAAGGAAACGGGCAAAAAGAGGTATAATAATGCAATTTAACACCCATTACGTTTTGCACACACATTACATTAAACACATTACATTAAACCCTCCCCCCATCCAGAAAACAGATAGAGAAGATGCCCACTGATGGACACAATGCAGTTATAAATAATAAAGTTCCGGACCTGAGTAGAGGGGACGGAGAAGGGTGTTCTGGTACTGACCCGTACATCTCCGCTGCAGATCGTTTCACACCTGCTTTTCCTCTGTTCACTTTTGGCTCTGCAGCCAGATTAATATCTGAAAAACAAAAGCAAAAAAAAAAAATAAAAATTAAAAGTCTGAATTAAAAGCCAGGCATTGTGACGTGCACCTGCAAACCCAACACTGGGAGGCTGAGTGAGGAAAGACAGACCCTTACAAGTTTGAGAACAGCGTAGGCTACAAAATGAGCTCAAGACCAGGCTGAACTGCACAGGAAGACCTTCTCTCAAAAAGACAGAAAAAATTGGGGGGGGGGGGGGATCTAGCTCAGCTGCATAAATGCCCGTCTTGTAAACACAAGGTCATGAGTTCCAGCCCCGGTATGCCCTCCCCCTGCTGAAAAAAAAAAAAAAAAAAAAATCAACTCACCATTTAGAGCAATCAACCTGCTCACTGGGTTACTATTCCTATCAAGTATAATAACTAGCTCACTGGAAATAGTTCTACAGATTTAAAAATAACACAAACACACTGTAGTGGGTAATTTCAGATATAAATGTACATTCCATACCAACAAGGGCTGTCTTCCTTCTTGTTCTAAAAAGCTCACACATCAAAATACCAAGGGTCATAAGACACCTAAGATTCAATTTATTAAATGATCAACTGTATGGTCTGTCTGCTGATCAGCACTAGATGCATATCCTATGTTTTATTACTGAATGCTTATCTAAAGTTTATTACAATTTTTCTTTCAGAAGTTTTGACTCTTAGACCCATGCAAACTCCCTTAAAGACAATTTTTAAAAAGCAATCTAGGCGGGGCTGGAGATTTAGCTTAGCGGCATAAGCGCCTGCCTTGCAAACAGGCAGTCGTGAGTTTGATCCCTGGTACCAATAAAAAAAAAAAAAAGACAAAAAAAAAAAAAAAAAAAAGCAATCTAGGGACCAGGGATACAGCTCAGCGGCACAGTGCCTGCCTGGCAAGCACAAGACTGTGAGTTTGATCCCCAGTAACCTCCCCCAAAAAAGCAATCTGTATGATATGAAAACCTATCATATTTAGCTATCAACAAATTATTTCATGGTGCCCTAAATTACTATCCTGAGTCTCTTATCAACTTAGCAGAGTAAGGCAGGAGGATCACAAATCTGAGGTATGTCTGAGCAATTCAGGGAAGCTTTGTCTCAAATGAATATAGTGACTAGCACACACAAAGAAAAAACAAAAGATACTATGTACAGAGGTATGATGGCTGCAGATGGTTTTCATTCTGTTAAAAAAGGGAAAAAACTTGCACAGCCAAGTGTCATGGTACAAAAGCCAGTAATTCCAGCAACTCAACAGGTTCAGACAAAAAAGTCGCATGTGGTGTGCACTGGAAAACTGAAACAGGAGGATGTTTAGGAATTTAAAAGACCTAGACTACATAGCAAAATCCTGTCTCAAAAAAAAACTGTGTTTCAGGCAGGAAGCTCTAAGTGTCAGGCTATCCTACAGTACATACACAGTGAAAATTTTCTCCCAAAAAACCCCAATAGGCCTTATCTGCTATATATACTAAAGTTTTAAAAATAATACTTTTAGGGGCTGGGGATTTAGCTCAGCGGCCTAAGCACCTGCCTGGCAAGTGTGAGATTCCCGGTACCACACACAAAAAAAAACTTTTGTAAAATATAATGAGCTAAGTTCATTATAATCTATTTTTGTGCTAGAAAATCCCATCAACAGTTACAAGTATGTAAATCACATTAACATGCTCATTTCAATAAACCTTTTCAAACACTTGGTTTAGATCATTTAGCAAAAAACAAATAGGAAAATTTCACAAAATGTGAGTTTTTCTGTACACTGAATGTAGAAGAAATGGCTAAATAAATTAGTTATTTTCAATTACAATTGCTCTATATTTTTATTTACTAACTTTTACCATGTTGGACTTACACTAGAAGATTTTTCTCAAATGTTATCATTTTCACATTAACGTACTATCCCCTCAAATAAGGATACAAATTACTCTTTACTACCATCTTCATTTTTTTTTTTCCACTTTAACAGAGGAAATTTAAGACTCAGCCATGCTAAGCATATTTAGCCTGCCCATATGAAACTCTTCAGGCAGGGCCAAGCAGTTTGACTCAAGAGCCAATGTGTGGCTAAGCTACACCCTCTCTCCCCATCTACCTAAGCAAAACAGCCACACAAGCAACATTTCCACATTATGAACTATCATCGCATGTCCTATTTTACTCAAGAGTTGTCCAGGCTCTGCCTCACAGAAGGGCACAATAAAGATTATCCATCAAGCAAGGAATGTAACTGATACAATACTTGCTTAGCTTACTCAAGGCCCCGGGTTCAATACCCAGTACTGAGACCTCACTATGGCCACAAATCTAAAACTTTTCATATTAAAATTATATACCAAAATAATTATCTCAGACTATTGACTTTAAGAAGAGGAACATAAATAAGCCTCACAGCATGAGGCAGCTCTGTAACTCCACTTGGGAAGTTAAGGCAGGAAGATCCCCTACAAGTTTGAGGCCAGTCCAAACTGCATACTGCAGTCTCAGAAAAAGAAATAAGTGGGGGAGGAGGGGAGTGTGAAAAGAAAAATTCAACATTAATTATAATCAATGAAAAAATTACTTTTAACTTAGACCTTACCTAAAACCTGGCCAGCAATCATTCTGCCATCCTCTCCAGCTACAGCAGCCCGGGCATTTCTCTCATTAACATACTGGACGAAGGCAAAGCCCTTATGAACAGAGCAACCCACAATTTTGCCATACTTCGAGAAGATCGCCTCCACATCAGACTTCTTTACCACAAGAGTGTTGAGATTCCCAATGAACACACGGGAGTTCATGGAGCGAGGATCTGTCTTGTTTGTAACATTGCTAGCCATTGTATTTGAAGATAAGGTTGCTAACAGTGATAGAAACCTGGGGGAGAAAAAACATTTAGGTAAATAAATGGAGATGCTAAAAAATCAATATTCATTAATATATCTTCCTGTACTCTCATTTTCAATTACTGTGACTACCTAAGAGTCAATTTTAAAAAGGGATGTCACAGTAGCAAGTATGTCACTATTGAGATTAATGCTAAGATATATCCTTGAAGAATTTCAACTTCCTCTACACTCAACTGTCATTTCTCAGACGTTTCCTCTTAGACTACCAGCAATACAATCCTAGTGTAATTTTTTAATTCCAAATGGGTTAATTCTTTTCTGTAATACAAATAAATCAGAATTCCCTAAGGTTTTCATCAGTTTTGGCTATTTTTAACTTTCCATGCTAAGAATTCTTTCCTCAATAATTCTATCACCTTTGTGCTGCTTCTCTTAAAAAATAAATCTTAGTCATTGGCCATCAAAAAGATACAACTTCAAATTTTACCATACAACATTCTTGAACGAGATCAATGTAGACAATTTATATTTAATCTTCAAATATAGTTGACTGTTCTTCCCTCATGGCACTGGGGATCAAACCCAGAGCCGCTTTCACGAGAGGCAAGTGCTACACTACTGAGCTGAATTCACAGTATCTTAAACTTCTTACAAAGTCAATAAATAATAATAAATTTACAAACTGGAAATATCTTTTTCCAGGTACTGCAATTAAACATGCTATACATACATGAAAATCAATACCACCTTTTTATAGACTGCAATGACTAAATCTTTTATTTGATAACTTACAATATACTTTAGTAATATTGGATGGTGATGATGATAAAACTAGCAAATAGAACAGGCACAGATAAAAAAAATGATAAAAGAAAGAATACAACTTTCAGACTAAACCAAAAATGATCTTTGTAAATATATTATCAAGGCTCAATCCCAAGAAGATTACATGGAGATGCATAATACCACTTAAACTTCCTTTTGGTTATTTTGACAAGGGTCGTAACTATGCAGCTCAGACTGGCCTTTAACTCACTATGTAGCCCTAGGCAGGCCTTGAATTCACAATCCTCCTACCTCAGCTACCCCAGTGCTGGGATTACAAGCATGTACCATAATGCCCATCTGTCAATTCTATTTTTAACAATGTATAAAATATTTTTATTTCACCTTTTTTTAACTAAGTTTGTTACCCCTTCTTTCTCTCACCCCAAATGTTGAGCAGGGTTTCAAAGAGTGACATTCTTAAGACTTTATTTCCATTTTTCTTTGAAAGGTATTAAATAATGTTCAGGCAAACAAAGATACTAAACAGTAATAGTTACAGTATGGCTCCCGGGCCTGATGTAGAGTAGTTTTAAAATTTTACTAAAGCCAGTATAGATTTCAAGTATCAAATGATCTCAGGTCACAATTTATCAACTTCTGATGAAAATAGCTTACCAGTGAAATCTATGAGGTGTCCAAAGGGGATCAACAGTTTAGGTCAACAGTGGTGAACCATGGCATGTAAATTATTGTACTTTTCCTTTAAGATGGGAGATGTTAATGTATCTTTTTCTAAACTAAAATCTTAGTGTTCAAGATTAATTGTAGTGCTGGTGTTTTACAATAAATAAGTGGGTTCTGGGTTGCAGGTTGAGTCTTGACAAAAAGTTTCTCATCACTAATTTAGTTGTACACCAAGTATTGAAAAAGAATTGTAAGAATGCAAGATTAGGGGGCTGGTGATTTAGCTCAGCGGCATAAGGGCCTGCCTTGCAAGCAGGCAGTCATGAGTTCAATCCCCAGTACCAATAAAAAGGAAAAAAGACAAAAAAAAAAAAAAAAAAAGCAAGATTGGCACACTATAGTTTTTTTAAATTCCACAGAAAACAAAAAAAAAAAAAAAAAAAAAAAGCCAAAAGCAAAACCATAAGGACATTTACAACTACTCTAGGTGACAAGATATGACCATCGAAACTCCAAACTGCAAGCTGGTAATGATATGCCGAAGGCCAACATACATGTTCACTAACAAATACAATCTGAACCTTAAATAATTTTTTAAACCAAGTTTAGCCTTGGCTGGCCTCCAACTCAGAGATCTTCCTGTCTCAGCCTCCAGAGTACTGGGACTAAGAATGACCCATCATACCTGGCTAAATGCTCATAGAATAGAAGACTAACAAAATAAGCAACTAGAATACCATTACAGAAAGCAAAGAACAACAATTTAACAGATGAGTATAAGCAGCTTCAGTAAAGCTGGGTGGGTTGTTGCACATCTGTAACCCCAGCATCCTAAAAAAAAACAAAACAAAACAAAAAAGCAGGCAGCCGTGAGTTCGATCCCTGGTACTGATAAAAACGAAAAAGACAAAAAAGAAAATGAAAAAAAAATCACAAATCATTAAATGGCATGTGAATGACAATGCTTTAGCTCTCTGTATGTACATATGCCTACAAACCCCCACTAGAGACTGATGTAGGACTGTCAGTTGAAAGCATGTACACAAGCCAGCCTAACTGTAAACATCATGGGGAAGAAAAGTCCTAGGCATAGGGGGGGTCACCTGTTAACCCCAGGACTCAAGAGGCTAAAGCAAAAGAGGACTGCTGAGTTGGGACCAACTTGAACTTCACGGTTAAAACATGTCTCAAAAACAAAACAACATAGCCAGGCATGGCGGCTCAAGCCTGTAATCCCAGCACTTAGCTGTAATCCCAGCCTAGGCTACAAAGTGAGCTCAAGGCCAGTCTGAACTGTGTAGAGAGACCCTGCCTCAAAAAGACCAAAAAAAAGGGGGGGGGGGAGCCCTGGCTGGACAACTTAGTTGGGATCTGTGTGTGTGTGTGTGGGGGGGGTGTTTGCACGCTCGCATGTCGCAGATACAAAGCTATACTTAAGATCTATGTGCTCAAATAGAATTTTAAACTCTAGAATCAGTTTCTTTCCTAAAATTGTGTTCACCAAATATAATCCATAGGGAAAAATAACTAAAACACTTTTACTCCTTGACTTTTCTACCAAAGAATTCTGCTACTGTACAAATGATAAATGAGAAATCCAATTCAAGTATTTTCCAAAAGATCACTGATCACTCAAATTTGTGGTCCTGGTTTGCACAGCAAGTAGCAAGTTATTTTTTCATATCAGGTTCCAAGCACATTACGAAAGGATCAGCAAGGCAGTTTTAGCTGGTGAACAAAAGTAAAAACCAAAATCGTTTCATTACTTTTTTTTAAAGAATCACTTTCCATACATATATCTGTTTGACAGTCTTTACTCTGAAACAATGAAACAAGTTTTAATAGGAATACTAAGGATGAGAAATGCTTACTGTAGTCCTACTCCTTATCTTCAACCCTCTCAGTAAGGCCCTCAACATTAGCAACATCAATCTCTAGCAAATCTATCAATTCTATTTCCAACAGTTATACCTCCTTGCCCTCAAGAGTACAAATCTTAAGACTGTCGATTTGGATAAAAAATATAGGGTACGTTTACAAGTTCATTTCTCTTAAAGTTCACATTAAGTCTCAAATGTCTGGGAATAAGTGTGGCAGTTTGTACTTTCTGATGATTATGAAAGAACTTTCACATGAGCCTAATGGAAATTTGCTAGGAACTGGGCCAAAATAAAAGTTGTTGAGTCATTCCTTGAGACTCCTTTACTTTTTTCATCTGGTCATTAAGAATGCAAAGAGTACAGGAAAACAAGTATTTTAGATTTTCAGTGGCACATGGACTGTTTCAAGCATGTACAGGCAGATGGTCTTCAAACTAAGCAGATAATAAAAGGGTTTTTTTGCTGTGTCTCTTTTTGAAACAGGGTTTCACTATCTAAGCCAGTTCAGGCTGGCTCAAACTCACAGCAAACTTCCTGCCTCAGTCTCCCAGGTGCTCAGATTACAGGTGTACATCACACCTTGCACAAGGTATATTTTGACCAGTCAATCCCAAATCTTTTATCTCATCACTTATTCACACAGGTTTATCAAGTAAGTATTTGTCTGTAGGACAGAAAAGGAACACAGCATGTTTATCAGATGTCAAACCATACTAGAGAACAAGGAAAATATCCATTTAAGAAATTTAGAACCATGCTTTAGAACTGCCTTTACTATCTTATTTTGGGGACTTTTTTGTTTTCTGAGACAACTTTTCAATACATAGGTTCAGGTTGTGCTTGAATGAACTCACTATGCATCTTAGGCTGGGCTCAAACTTGTGGCAATTTTCCTGCCTCACCTTCCCATGTGGACCTTTTAGTATCTCTTAAAACCTAAACTAGCCTACACATTCTATTACAACTAGGTACAGCTCTATGTATCTAATATTATACATAAATGTAATCTCCCTTCTTTCTTCATAAAATTCAAAGTGGCACTAGATGGCAGCAATGGGACAATTTTAAGGATTATTATGTTGACTCAAAATTTCTCTGTAAGTGAAATTTCTCTGCCTATATACACCATCATCCCAGAACAAGTCAACTCCTACACTGCCTCTACAGCTGCCTTGCTTCTCCTAGTGCTCTAATCCATACAACTGTCATATTATTCTCTGGCCATCTTCCTTCTACTCATTATGTATTGCTTCATTCAGCTTTCATCATAAATCTCCCTCTAGTCTCTTAGGAAGAGATCAACTACTAATATATGTGAAAAAATACCCAACACAAAAACAATCCAGAGTGTTTTGTTCTATTCTATTATTATGGCTCATTTCACAAAAATATGAACACCATCTCTCAAGGTGGATTTCTAACAATGGAAGTACAAGGTAGTGGGTTTTGAAGGCATTCAGAGGCAATGCAAAATGAAGCTGAGTGTTTTTAGGTAAATTATGCTAAGTCTAAGAATCAGGGAGAAAGGGGGTATTTCAATAAATGGTGACAGAAGGTAGCCACTTTTAAATGTTGGAGCTGGTGTGGCAGCACATGCCTGTAACCCTAGGACTTGGGACATTAAGGCAGGAAGATCTCCAAGAGTTCGAGGCAACCCTGGTCTACATATTAAGTTCAAGACCAATCTGTTAACTAC